CAAAAAAAAGATAGAGCATCTTACCTTTGTGGACGGAGGGAGTAGTTTGCTAGCCAAAATGTTGGTGGAGCTTTTGCTTCAAAATTGGCTACAAAAATGACAAAGAATGGTAGGTTGAATGTTGGCCATCATCCACACAAACACCCCAAATTTTTCAAAATTGCACTGAATAATAATCCCTAATATTAGTTGTCCTTTGCTCCGAAGTAACATTTGCTGAAGTTTTGCTTTCGAGTGCTCCGATTTCATAGGAATTAGGGCATCCACTCCACAATTCTTTTTTTTCACACAAGTTCGTTCAGGATCAAGCGATGTGTTCCATGTTTGATTCAAATGATTGTTTCTTGCAGTTCTTCTGCCGATCAAGTATCTACTTTTGCATGTTCATGGATTATATATATGCACTTGCATTCCCTCCTGCAAATTCACAAGTTTGTACCCTCAGCCCATCGGAAAATAAAAACCCACGGTTTAATGTCATCAACATCGAGGCATCTATGGCCATTTTGTTACAGTTATTGCTTCTTGATCTTTTCTTAGGCAGTATGCTCATGGGGTGGTTGTGCGTGCGTGTTGTATACTTTGTGTTTCTCAACAACAGCAAAATCTATGTTTCTGCTGTGTCTTAATAAATTCCTATATGATCCAAAGAGGCCCCTAACTTTTGCTCACTTTAGTTTAATAAATGGATCAAACTTGTGTTATGTGAGAGGTCACATGTTATTCTTTTGTGTGTGTGTGTGTGTGTGTGTGTGTGTGAGAGAGAGAGAGAGAGAGAGAGAGAGAGAGATTTCCAATCTATTTACAGAGAACACTAAAGGTAATACAAATTACAATCAGGTCCATGGACCACCTAGCGATAACTATAAGCACTAGAGCGAGCCGAAGGCACACCGTCATCATCACCCCTCCCTCACCGGAGCCGGGCAAATTACCTTGTTGTAGTGGACAGTCAAGAAATCGTCGTGCTAAGGCCCCAAAAAACCAGCGCACCAGAGCAGCAACCATCGATGAAGAGGTCACATGTTATTCTTACTAGATAATTATCCGTGTGTTGCCAATGACATAATTTATACAACATGTGGTAAGACCCAGGGCAGTTGAGGTGACTTTTATGGGAAACCAGTGGGAGAAACCCATAGATGAAAGGGGAAAATCAAAACAGTGAAGGAGGAGGGGCACGCACATAGGGAGGTTGGACAAATGAAAGAGGTAAAGAGGGGAACACTATTATTTTTAAAATTATATAATTAGGTAGGAGAGGTCAGCAGCTTCGGCCGATGACTTTTCGCATGCACATTTAAATAAATGGTTATAAGAGACAACGTTCTTTTTTGAGGGATATAAAAGACAACATTGTTTTTTAGGGATACACAAATACAACATTCATAAACAAAGGAAACCAATTTCCTACTAATTAGAAGAAAAAATAATGAAGTTTAACTGCGTGTTTACTGGGGCATCATTATTTGAATAGAGGTAGTAGACAAAGAGTATATATTAGTTTTTTTTTTGAGCAGTGAGAGTATATATTAGATGGGGAAGATATAGCACACGTGAGGGTGGATGCTCTTGTTTACAAGATTCAATGTTAGTTTATATACTTTTACATTTGGGGAAATCTAAAAAAAAGTGTGATGTAATATGATGTCGTGGTTTGAACTAAAACCACGACAAGAATAATGAAACGGAGGGAGTGTTAGCTTATTCATTGAACAAAAGAGTATGGTGTTATGCATCTACGGGTATTTCTTCACTATAAACATTAACATCGCACAGAAGTATCACGCAAAAAAAAACACACATCGCATAGTAATACATTTATATTTTCAGATATAAGAGCAACTCCAACAGGCCGACCCAAACGGACGGCGATTTCGTCCGCTTTTTGTCCGTTTGGGTCGGCTAGACGGACACAGATGCCCGCTTCTGCATTTGGGTCAACGCCTGCGCCCAACGCTGGCCTAAGACCCATTTTGACGGCGCCAAGAAAAATGAACGCATGCATATTTAAAAAAAGAGAAACATCATTAATTAAACATTAAAGCCGGCCACGAAGGCCGGCGAGAGTCCACGCGTCCACATTTGCATTTAAAAAAATAAAAACAGCCTAAACTACGAGGCGGCGCGCTGCCCTAGGCGTCGACGTCGTCGTCCTCGGGGTCCGTAAGGTCGATGAGCGTCGGCGCCGGCCCGGCCCAGGCGAACGCCGTGTTCTAGAGCGCCGCCATGTCGGGCTGTGCCGGCGCAGGCAGAGCATCGTCGCTGACGCGTGGGCCTGTCATCATAAATAAAGCTGACCGCATGGGCAACGGGTAATTGGACGGCTGCCATATGGGAACGCGGCGGATAGCGAAAAGGCGTGCGAAGCGTCCGTTCGGCATCCGCGCCGACGCATTTGGGACACAAATTTAGGCCGTAAATGCGTCGGCGCGGACGTGATTTGGATTTGGGTCGACGCGTTGGACCGCCGTTTTTGTCCGTGCCGATCCAAACAGACACAGATGGACGAAATGGGTCGGCCCTTTGAAGTTGCTCTAAACGTATGCATTGGTTGTAGTATCTGTGGCCACAGAGTTAGGCGGCAAATTCGAATAGTTGCCATGAAAACCATGATCGAACAGTCTACTTTCTCAAATTGATCGACGGTGGACGCCAAGTTATCGGCGCGTCCACACCTACGCCGCGCAGCAGGCCCGGAGCCAGTTTTTTGGCGAGACGTGTGTGGCGGAATCCTTGGCAGTTGGATAGAAACGAGCCGGGCGGTTGCTGCTGCGTCGCTGAGGCCCGGCCCGGCCGGGCCGGGCCGTTTGCTCCTGTGGGGTGGGGGCCTGTGGCCGTACCGGACGACTGTGCTAAAATTCCGGACCGGACACCATCAGTGCCGCTGTCTGCACTGTGCAAGGCTTTGATCAAAGGGTCTGCCACTCACACGTCCTTTTCGCGTACTCACAAGCGCTACTCCGCTTGGGCTGGGCCCCCATGGACAATCAATGCCGGCCTGACCCCCACCGGCCCACCCCCAGTGCATCTGTCATGTCATGTACCTGAGCCCCAAGCTTGGCATACACACATTTTCCTTTTACGGAGCGCACCGCGCCGTTTTTACCCCACCCCTTGCATTTTCTACCGCGTACGCGAACGAATGGCCGTGCCATCTACTCGTTGCATTTTATACTGTACGTATGATTCACATTCATGCATTTCTTGTAGCCCCTGAAGACACAAAGCTAGGTAAACACTTGTTAGAAAAATCTACTGCCGCTCAATGAAAAAAACTCCTCATCGTCGATGGTAAGCCGATTAATTAATTGGGCTGAAGGGTGTGATGTTATGCAAGTACGGTGAATTCTTCGCTATAACCATCGCCGTCGCGTGAAATTACACTTGTATTTTCAGATATAGCAACATGTTTGGTTCGGCGGAATTAAAGATGGGAAATGGGAATTAAGGGATAAGGAGATTAATAGTTCACCGTTTGATTAAAGGAAATAGGAGTTTAAGTGGGAAGGGGAATGAGAGTTGAGGAAGTCAATTCCCACCGATTTCTTCCTAAGAGGTACCCTGTTAATTCGTGAGCAGAGTTTTATCCCACACCAATTTCCATCATATGCCAAACAAAGAAATGAAAGTAAAAATCTACTTTTCATATCTAATTCCTTTATAAACACCCTTATGCAAACTCTCATTCCCCTGCCTAAGTGTTTACCAAACAAGCTGTAAACACATAGGCTGTAGACTCGTATCGTAGCATCTGCAGCCACACACAGTGACGCAGTAAATTCAGATGGTTGCCGTGGGAACCATGTCAAGACAGTGTCCTTCATCAAAGCTAAAGAAGAAAACTGCAATTTCAGAAGACCCCCAAGCTCCAAAGCAAATGTAAAGTAAAACCACACTCCGCATAGTGAAACAAACAAACAAACAAACAAAGTGAGAAACATCTCCCAGAAAACACTCACACGCACGGGCTAAGAAACCAGCCGGCCCGGCTGCTGTTGCTGTTGGCCGTATCCGACTCTGCTAAAATCCCAGCTATGTATCTCTCGTGTGTCATGCAACTGTATACACAAATCCAGCCAACACACACACAAGCATCGCCTGAGGAAGGGCACAGGCCGTTTTCACCAACCCGTTTCGCTTTCTACTGTACACACAGATGGTCATGCTACCTGCTTGCTGCGCCTGTTAACAGACACCGTCTGATGGGAGCACAGACTCCTGCTTCTATACGGTACCAGCCAGGTGGCGGTTCATTGAACGTGGGATTATCATGCTGCCACGTTCTGCTGCTGGAGCCACTCCTGGATGGCGGAGCGGAGGGCGATGTTGGGGATGAGCTCGTCGTGCTCGAGCGGCAGGTTGGTCATCGGGGACGTGTCGCTGCCCGTGCTGAACCAGCTCCGGATGAAATCGCCTTCGTAGGTGAAGCCGTCCGCCGCAATGTGAGGGTCGTTCATCACATCCTGAAATTTTCACAACTGATGGTTAGCCAAAAGATAAGAGAGAGATTAATATGCTACACCCCAGGAGTTTCTGTAACAACACATTCACCTTTACGATCAAACTTATCAAGTATCGTTATCTAATTCGTTCATGTGCTCCTGAATAGGGAAAACTCAAATGATTCCTTCCCTACTCACCTGAGATATAGGGCAGATGAAGTACGACGGTATGTGGTTTTCATCCAGCACTGATCCCGAAGACGAAGACGAAGCTGACGTTGCGTTGCCCCTCATGGACTCGAGCGCCCTTATTGTTTCTGTGAGCTGATGCTGAAGATTCTCATTGTGCTCGGTGGCTTTCTGAAATTCCTCGCTGACCTCATCTTGCCGAACTTTAAGTTGTTGGAACTCTTGTTCTATTTTCGAAAGACATTCCTCAGCTTCTCTTCGTTGTTGGACTTGGTTTAAATATAAGTCCTCTGATGTCCTGGCCTGCAGGAATCAAAGTATCATCCATTTTATGGTACACGAGTTGACTAATGTGCCTTCATGAAACAGTAACAATGGCCCAGGAACTTTGTAAGAAGAAAGGGTGCATCCAGAGAATGTGCAACATGTGAACCCTGGAGTCTATATAAGATGACTTTTTGAAAGTAGAAAGGATTAAGATGAGAATTCTTTGGGACATCTCGGTGTTAGTTAGCCATTTCAGCATAAAGAGAAATTACCATTCGTTCAGATTCAATCCGCCTCAAGCGCTCATCAGAGGCTTCCTTCTTGAGTGCTGCAGCTTCTTCCATGAGTTTTTGGAGTTTATGACGCAAATCATTATCTGAACTAACATTCCCCTGTTAGGATCATTGAGAGAAAATAATTAGTCACTTAGGGTAATACTCCCTCTGTAACAAATATAAGGTAGAACTTAACTAGATTTTTTTTAAAGGGGGTACAGTTCTAACTATTAACTACTCCCTCTGTTCCATAATGTAGTGCATACAGACTTTTTGAAAAGTCAAACCTCAAGTTTGTGGAGAAAAACATTTACATCTATAATGCCAAACATAGATCATTAGATTCAACATAAGATGTAGCTTCATATTTTATATATTTGGTATTGTAGGTATAAACAGTATTTCTATAAACTCGTGAAAGTTTGCAAAGTTTGACTTCTCAAAAAATCTCTATGCACTACATTATATAACGGAGGGAGTAAGAGCGCAAGTTCTCATTGAGCTATCTTCATGCACCCCATACCGCCTGTTTTAAGGTTTCTAAGTGCTACTTCTTACAGTTAAATTATATGTAGGCCAAGGACTACAGTCTACATCAGTCACACTGAACCGCATATGCAATACACGCACTTCCAAGAACTAAACAGAATCAAGTAACGATGGAATACTTGTTAAGAAGAAGTAAACTAGACCAACCAATATGTCTTCCAAATCATCAGGCCCAACATCACCGCCATTAGATCTGTTAATGCATGCTGCACATCTAGGCCAACAAAACAAGTCAGTTCATGTTATTGTGTCAACAAAGCTAACAGGGTTGGAAAGCTACCTCCTTAAGCCATCAATTACAACGAGATTGTTTGGGTCACACTTCAGACCCTCTATGTATGTTGCCAGAGCACTTTCATAATACTCCATCAGGAATTGTACATTCGCTTTACGCACATAGCCCTTCAGGAAAGTGGGATCTAACTCAATACATTTTTCGGCATCTTCCAGACCTTTAGGCAGATTTCCTAGATAGATGTGGCATTGAGCTCTATTGCTGAAGACCTGGATAATCAGTTATAACAATAACATTAAAGCACAATATTACAAGAATCAGGGTGGCATGATAATGTATATCAAATATGACAGGTCAAAGATGTCATGTTTATTGAAGAACTGTTTTTATTAATCAGAGAATCTTCTATTTTCAGTGGAGATATAAATTTAACCAATAACTCCGCCTATGTCTTCTAGGCATAGCCGGTCCCAAGCCCAGGTAAAGGAGGAGGGTTGTGATAGGCTTGGCGAGCCATCGTAAAAACTAGCCAGTCCCATGGGTATGAAACCCATTTGAGCGAGAGTAGTACTAGGATGGGTGACCTCTTGGGAAGTCCTCGTGAAAGGGTTTAATATCTAAGGGTTGTGATAGGCTTGGCGAGCCAACATAAAAACTAGCCAGTCCTTTGGGTATGAAACCCATTTGGGCGAGAGTATTACTAGGATGGGTGACCTCCTGGGAAGTCCTCGTGAAAGGGTTTTATATCTAGCCTACCCCAACTTGTTTGGGACAAAAGGCTTAGTAAGTAAGTAGTAAGTATATAAATTTAACCAATGAGGTAAAGTTGCCTTCAGATGTTATATGAAGTATAATCACCGGAACCAAAATCCTTACTCTGGGATCATTTGGATTCTTTTCAATAGCTTCAGTATAGTGAGCTGTTGCTTCCTGATAATTTTTCCTCTGGAACAATTCATTACCTGCCACATGTGCACACACTCAGAAGTCAGAAGCAGTAGTTCGACATCACAATGGCATGCATGATACTAACTGGGATGAGGATATATCATGCTCGAAGAAAGAACATAGAACACTAGGAGCTATGTCCACTTCTTTCCATTCCATACAATTGAGTGTTTGGTTGAGAGACCACCTCATCCCAGGATGATTTGTCCATGATGAGATGAGCACATGAATTTGGTGTGATGGCACTGTCTCTCATTTTATAAGTAGTGTGCTTATGAGGAGTGAGTTGGTAATGGACCCAAAAATAACTCAAACCACAAAATTGATTAGATCCAGAGTTACGATAAGGAGTATCCATTCAGCATGTGTTTCTTTGCACCAGACACATCAAGTGCTCGTGTCCATTCATTTGTATTAGAGCTTTTCTGCACAGTCCTAAGCCTCAGTTCTATACAGACCGGAAGTAAACCTTGGGAGAATATATTTGTAATTTACTTTTTATTTCCTCTTGCAGATATCAAGTTAAAAGTCTGAAATTTCCAAGAATAAACACTAGTAGATCATGACTATGTTTTTGGAGAAATTTCTTGATAACAGGGGTGACAGACTCCTAAATTTATTTTCCATTTTGCTGGGAAACTGAATGTAGGCACAGCAATCACTTCACAGCTATAGTAGTACATTGCAGTGCCACAATCAATCAGCAGCGTCGTGTCAGGACTCAGGATTCAGGAAAAGCACCCAAACCTCTCTGGCGGTGGTGGTCGGCGGCCTCCTGATCCAGCCGCTCCCGCTCCTCGATCTCCTTCCTGGCGGTCTCCGCCTGGTCCAGCTTGTCGCGCGTGTCCTCGCAGTAGTGCTCGGCGAGCGACTGCTGCAGCGCCCTGACCGCCGGCGCGTAGTCGGCGGCGCAGGCCGCGAGCTTGAGCAGCGCGGCCGCCTTCCGCGACAGCGCGCGGGCCAGCAGCCTGTTGTCGGCGCGGAGCTCCCTGCCCCTCTCCACCGCCTCCTCGCAGTCCCTCACGCACTCCCTGTACTGCAACGGGTAGGAGACGCCGGGGCGCGGTGAAGGATAGATAGAGATGGGCGACGGGGGGAAAGGCGAGGGTTTGGGGCGGAGGGGGCGACGGACCTTGGACATGAGGAGGTAGGCGGCGGCGCGGTTGGTGAGGAAGGAGATGTCGCGGGGGTCGAGGGCGGCGCCGCGGGTGTAGTGGTCGACGGCCGTCTCCAGGTACTGCTTGCGGTAGGCGTCGTTGCCGGCCTCCTTCTCCCGCTGCGCCTCCGCGGCCCGCTCCTCCTCCGCCTCCATCGCCGGCGCGCTTCTCGCTTCTCTCCTGGGGGCGGCGCGGGGCGGGGCTGCGGGAGCCGGCAATGCGCTTCGGTCGCCGGCGGTTACGGAAGTGGAAGTGGGAGTGGAAAGGGGGAGACTTGACCGGGGAGGGACTGGGCGAGAAGTCGTCCGGCCAGCGCGGGCGAGCAGAGTCTCTGACTGGTCGTCGGGGCCCACCTCGCAGCGGCCGCCCGAGGCCCGACTCAGATGCTCCTGTCTCCGACGCCGCTGTCACGGTATAGTCGTGGCCGCCGGTCTTTGTTTCTGCCGGTGAGTTGCCTCTCTCGTTGCGGCACTGTGGGTGGAGGGCCCGATGTACCATTACCAAGGGGAAGGTCCGTCGCTCAAGTAAAAAATTGATAGAAATGGTGAACCATGCCCAAGGTCGATGGCGGAGCCAGGATTCGAGTATAGGGGGGCCGAGTACGTATATTGATTGAATCTTGTTGATAATTACTAGTTGCTTTTACTAAAATTGTTGATCGTTGAGGAGAGGGGAGAGGCCCCTGCTCGTCCCCCCTGGCTCCGCCCCTGCCCAAGGTTGCCCCACCAAGACCCTGGCTAGCAAAAAAATTGTTGAGCTTTTGGTACATGTTAAAAAATTGGCTAACATTAAAGGAAAAAATGAACTAGATTAGGCGAAAAGAGTGTTGGAATGCCAAAAAAAAAAATTATATGTATATTTTTTGAGAGAATGGCATGCCAAAAGGTTGACAACCATCCAAACAAAGATCAACCTTCCAGTCGTGGACAAAGAATCGATACGGTACACATTGGTGGAAATCCAAACATAGCATCATGACTGGCATAGCCAAATTCAGAATCTCAATGAGAATACCACCACCGCATAGCTCCAATTCTACAACATTGGCACAACGAGGCGAAGAAGTCATACATACTCAAAGGATCAGGAGGAATTTAATGTTGAGTGGCACCTCCGTCACCTTGTTGAGAATGAGTGGTACCACTTTTTTGGACTCTATCACTTTTTTCATGTTGTTGAGAATGAGTAGTACCACTTTTTCGAACTCTATCACTTTTCATGTTGTTGAGAATGAGTAATACCACTTTTTCAGACTCGACCATTTTTTCAGACTCGCCATGGCACCTTGCTTTACCAAGATTAGGCAGCTCAGTCAAGTCAAGAGTATTATGCTCTAGAAATCAACCGGTCTGGAATACCAGCTGCTCTCCCACGTATATATGCTCCTGTGAAATCCAGGGCCGTCAAATTTAACAAATGGCAAAGTGATGGCAGGGGGTCTTCTTTCAATTGTGACTAATATAGATGTATAGAATACAAGCTCTGCTTCCGTGCAACATGGAGGAGATGAGACTTGCCCAACACTCCTTACGATAACCAGCCCCTCAAACACAATGTTTCAAGGTCTGGCGAGAGTGTATTGAACTTGAGAACCTCACCCTCATCACTTGCATTCACATCACCAAATACTTCACCTATGTGCTATGTATTTAAAATCCTCAAGCTTCGCCAAATCAGGGAGTGCATAAATATAATAATCTGAGAAATGGATTTAATTCGAGCTAGTTGACTTATCTCATCCAAGCACTAGATCGCGGAAAACGTAAATACTTTATCATGTGCCTATTTTTCAATTCAATCGGTTTAACATAATCGTCAAACTTTATTTCTCAAATTAATAACATCCATTTCGCTTACAATTTGGTGAAGAATAAAGTCGGGGACGTTGGAATCCCAGAACTCTGAAGAATTAGTACTACTAGAATGTTCTGCTAGTTAGTACAAAGTTGAGTTATCTATTTTAGAATGGAGGGAGTATCTGATTAGCTTCTCTACAACAGTAAATGAAACAATCATGTACACTCAGCTAAAATCGAGACTTGAGGACCCATGTATGCACAGGAAACGGATCCTCTAACATTGATAAGGAATGTTAGAGAAGCTAGCCTTATATTATTGCACCCAATTTCTGCTGCCAAAACCAAACCAGCATTCCGGATTGCATTCGTCTCTGATCCGCCGAGTCTACGCTGCTGACATGTCCAATAAGGCTGGTCACAATGGGCAAGAACATAGTCTAGTAACTTACACACTTCCCTAGACTATGTTACTACCTCCACAATGGGTAGGAACATCTATGTAGTGTCATGCAACAATGTATTTATTAGGTTATAGACTCATTGTTTCTTGGAGTGTGTGATGTTCCGGTAACTTAGCTAGTTACCACAAGCACCTCTCTCTTCATTAAATATGTGACACATAAGCAAAGTTGTATTGGAGTGTGTGATGTTACTCCTAAGTTCCTCCCCATTGTGACCAGCCTAATGGCCACATGGTCGGTTTTGTATATAGTGCATGCGCGCCTTGCATGCTGACAGGGACGTACATGTATCTGAGCTCGTGTCATTATTGGACCAAGAGCTGATCATAGCCATTTTTTGCATTATCGTAAGCACGCGAGGCACATGGACGGATATAATACAGTAGCTGGCATGCAGCTGTAGTTGCCTCCACGTCGCCATCCTCGAGTCGTCCCCTCGTAACATTGAGCCCGCACCGCATGGATCGATATAGGTGGAAAATGTGCCCCACATGCACGCACAGCAGATCGAGAGGAAGAAGATGATGTCCTTGAAGCATCTCCGGGCGCCTACCGCCGGGCAGCGCCGCCCCTCGCCGCTGCTGCGTCTCGTCCCCGGGCTCCTGCTTCTGCTGCTCATCTCGCGGCCGGCGCAGGCGTCGGCGTCGACGGTGGTCACCCGCCTGCCGGGATTCGATGGGCCGCTCCCCTTCCACCTCGAGACCGGGTAACCATCCCACATCATCTGAATCTAATGCATTCGCTGCTGCTTCCATCTCGGAAATGAAAGGGGAAATGGGCGCGGGATTCTCATAGCCGGAGCTGGCAGGTACGTGGGCGTGGAGGAGGAGACCGGGACGGAGCTCTTCTACTACTTGGTGGAGTCGGAGCGGAGCCCCGGCGCGGACCCCGTGCTCCTCTGGCTCACCGGCGGGCCTCGCTGCTCCGGCTTCAGCGCCTTCGCCTTCGAAGTCGGTCAGTACTCCACCCACCAACCAATAACCACAGCCGCGCCCCGGCCGCCGGTCTGGAGATAAGTTGATGATACCCATCCATGCATCGTCGTCTTACATACAACCAATGGAGTACAATTCAGGTCCTGTAAAGTTCGTGTTGGCGCCGTACGACGGCGATCTGCCGCAGCTGGTATACAACCCCTTGTCATGGACCAAGGTGAGTGACATCCACGGAGATGTCTCTACTCTCTAGCCACTTCCTCATTTTCCTTCCTAACTAGTAGTAGCTTCCTGCTGTACTGACGACGACGATCATCAGATGGCAAGCATCATCTTCTTGGACTCGCCCGTCAGCTCCGGTTTCTCATACGCGCGCGACCCCAAGGGCCGCGACGACGTCGGAGACTACTCGTCCTCCCTGCAAGTCCAAAGATTTCTCAATAAGGTGACGAGAAGGGGCGTTAATCGTTGTTGCGCTGCCCTGGCAGTGATTCAGTGTACACTGACCGCTCGATGCCTGGTTATTCATGCAGTGGTTCATCGATCACCCGCAGTATCTTTCAAACCCTTTCTACATTGGAGGAGATTCGTATGCCGGAAAGGTTGTTCCACTCATTGCGCAATACGTTTCAGAAGGTGAAATTCTCTTCCTAACAGCAGTACCACTTAATGCATTGTAGGACCTCTCTAATTTTCTTTACAAGGTTTATTATTCATTATGCGGCAAGTTCTTCCAAGGAAGCTAGAAAAGCAGATGCATTTTCCATTTTGTTTCCGGGTCACCGAGGTCGCTTCTAATTTGCATTGCTTCTGCTATGCACGTCCAGGAATTGAAAAAAGGCAGCAGCCTCACATTAATCTCAAGGCAAGCTATTTCTCCAGCATTCAAACCACCCTTTGTTATATACAAATAGTGTGTGTGATCATGATGCATGATAACATCTCTCGTTCTTTTGTTGCGTTAATGCAAATATATATTTCCAGGGCTATCTGGTCGGCAACCCTATGACAGACCCAAAGTTCGATCGCAATTTCCAGGTTCAAGCTGCTCATGGCTTCGGGATAATATCTGATCAAATATACGAGGTAACAAAAAATCCATTCGCTTTGGCCAAAAGTGTGGTGACAAATTTTGTATTGTGTGTCGATCTAAAGAATTCATAGCATGTTTTATTTTCTTTCCCAAAGGCTACCATGAGGAACTGCAAAGGAGATTATGTAAACCACGTGAATCAAATGTGTGCTGAGGTGCTACAAACCGTAAAGAGTGTAAGATTCATGCATTGACCATTTTGTTATGAACTTATGGTACTACAAGTGCCAGCACCGGCTGGCTAATTCAGGCATATCCCTACTGCAGCTCATTTCTGAAATCCTAGATGCACACATCTTGTACAAAAAATGTGTCTTCTCCGCACCAAAGCCCACAAATGATGCGACGGCAAGAAAATATCTGTTAGAAGAATCTATCGAGCTAAATGAGGCGCCTGGTCGACCTGCCACCGATTGTCTTGTCAGTCTTCCATTATCCTTGAAGCGTTAGCTTGAATAAGATGTGGCAACATCATATGGTTGTGACACTATTTTCGTATCACAAACTTATAGCTGGAATTCCTTTCAAAACTGCAGACATACGGTTACTACCTGTCATACTTTTGGATGAACAACAATATGACTAGAGATGCTCTCGGGGTCAAGCAGGTAAAGCCCAATTATGTATCGCTAGAAATATCTTTCAGATTATTCATGTGGGATTAAACACTGGCAAGTCATTGACAAATAAGAATTCGCCAAATAGGGGACGGTCGATGAGTGGGTAAGATGCAAAAGAGAACTCCCCTACAAATTTGACATGCCAAGCAGCATACCATACCATCTCAACCTCACCATGAGAGGTTACCATGCACTCGTTTACAGGTGAGAGCGAGCATCAAAATAAGTTTTCTTACTCATAATTGCAGCTAATCTTCTTCCAGAACTTCTTATTGAAACCTTCTGTCTGCACGACCGCAGTGGAGACCATGATCTCCAGGTGCCTCAGCTCAGCACGCAAGCGTGGATAAGATCTTTGAACTTCCCAATAGTCAGTGACTGGAGGGCATGGCATCTCGACGGCCAAGCCGCAGGGTCAAGTCATCTGACTCCTTTTCTTCGCATTTATTCATACGGAGAACAAAAGCTTTATGAATAAGCATAGTGTAGCATATTCCTCTATCTTTTCTGATGAGAAATGCTACTTTTGTGTGTGTGCAGATTTACCATGGGATACGCAAACAATTTGACATTTGCAACAGTAAAGGTAGTCTTGTTTTCCTCATCTTCTTTTTTGCGTGGAGTCTTGTTTTCCTCTTTATACCATGTTGCCCATGGATTAGATTGGATGGTAGAACTGTTGTGTGAGATATATCTAATAGAGCTCCTGATCACTTTTTTGTGTAGGGTGGTGGCCATATTGCTCCGGAGTACAGGCCTGAAGAATGCTTTGTGATGGCCGAGCGCTGGCTGGCCAATGAGCCTCTTTGATGATTTGACCATACAATTTTTATCTCTTAGCACAAATACTTTTGCATTTTGCTTCATTCCACCTGTAAAAATGCACTGAGTAGTGATGTACATCAAATGGAGTTTTTTAACAGTCCATCCATCGCCCCTGCGCGATTAATCGCCTCTAATTGTTATCTACCTTGAAGATATATAGAGTCCTCAGGACCTCCTATTTAGCGCGGTGTGCGCTGGCGAAGGAGCCAATACACACCCTCCCTTCGCCTCGTGCGCCTTTTGGACCGGTCATGTGCAGGGCGGTTCACTTCCTGTTTTTCCTTTTTTCTTTTTTCTCTTTACTGTTCTGTTCTGATTTGGTTTTATTCTTCATTAAAGTAATTCGAGATTTCAAAAATGTTTCAGATTTCAAAAAAAATGTCAAAGAAATCATAATATATTCACGGATCCAAAAAATAATTGTGATTTTTACAAAATGTTCACATATTCAAAAAATGTTCATGATTTCAAAAAAGTTTATCAATTCAAAAAGTTTCACAATTTTGAAAAGAAAAATGTTCATGATTCTTAAACATGTTTGTATACTAAAAAATGTTCATGAATTCAAAATTGTTCATGTGTTTATAGAAAATGTTCAGCTTAAAAACTATTCATGTATTCAAAATACCAACAATTTTCATAAATTAAAAAAGTTCATCAATTAAAAAATGTTCACTGGTTCAAAAAATGATGAATTCAGAATATGTTAGCGAATTAAAAAATGTTCATGAATTAAAAAATATTCACAGGTCTATAAAAATGGTCGTGTATTCAAAAAATGTTCACAACTTATAAAAATATTCGAGATCAAATAATGTTTATTAATATGAAAAAATCTTCATGATTTCGAAAAAAATTGAGGAAATTTCATAAAATGTTTGTGAATTAAAAAATTGTCTACGATTTCAGAAAAATGTTCATGTTTTCAAAAAAGTGTTCATGAATTCCTAAAAAAATTCATGATTTTAAGAAATTTTCATGAATTTAAAAGATAATCGAAAAATGAAAAAGAAAATATGGAAAATAAAAACAAAAGAAAAAAGTGAATAAAGGAAAATGTAAAATGTAAAACAAACATGAAACAGAAAAAAGAAAATCAAAAATGAAAAAATAAAAGAAAATGAAAAATGAAAAAAGAATCAAAATAAAAAAAGTTAAATAAGAGAAAAACCATTTTAAAAAAATAAACCAGTTCAGGGAAGGTACGCGCATGGGCCGGCCCATACAGAGTACTTGCATATGGTAGGGGGTCCGCGCTAGGTCGCTATTTGGCGACCTACGCGCCAAATAGGATATACTTGATCTAGGGTCGAAGGATGGCAACAACAAAGTTGTGGGCTTGTGACGCTCTAGAGAGACGCCACCTGACGCTGACATGCTCCCTTCCATGTCAAGCCCATGGTTTTCACCCCAGGTCTGGCCTGGCGTGGTCGGCACCCCTCGGCCTCATGTTGGGATCCATAAATAGTTGAGTTTTTTCATTTATTGATGTTGTTCTCTCATGTTTTTTGCTAAACAATCCCCTTCCCCTAAAAAAGGCTTAACAATCCTCTAAAAAAAGATAAACAATCATTTAGTACTCCCTCCGTTCCAAAATAAGTGCCTTAAACTTAGTACAACTTTGTACTAAAGTTAGTACAAAGTTGAGACACTTATTTTGGTATGGAGGGAGTAGTAAATTGGAAAAGTTACAAAGGGTGTTTAACTTCATGAAATTTTAGACATTAGCAATCACAATAAACGTAAATGCTACAACAACTTACTGAAAATGATGTTTCGCCTGAGAAATCATTCCCTTCAGCATAGAAAACAGAAGTTATGTTGATGCTTGTACGATTGCTTGCTCGATAATATTCTGCAAGACGCAAAGGCTTTGTACATGCGTTTCCCCCCTCTCTTGTATGTATTTATCGCTAAATTGCTTTGTTGATTTCCAAAAAAGGAGGTTTGGACTGCACTAAAGAATGGTTGCTCTACAGTCTACACAAGCGGAAATTGAGTGATTTCATTATAAAAAAAAGAGAGCAATGCAGAGCAGGGAGAAGGGGGGCAGGATTAAACTCTAAATTCGAACAGTTTACTTGTAACAATTCACAATTTACAGTTTAGCTCTTACAATTTGCAATTTACATGGACTTTGGAATACTCCAAGCATTGTTCACCTTGTTAAACCACCCGATGGAATCCTGAGCTCCAAGCCTTTGGTCACCTTGACATTTCCAAAGTCCACTGATACTGCACAATACATCACGCTGTTCGTGTACGCCCACAGGCTACGGATTTCTACGCCTCGTATTTGCAGATGTTCTCGAATCCCATGTACTCATGCCGCGCGATCTTGTGGATCGTGTTGGAGATGCCGACTCCGCCTGCGCAAAAATTTCAGGGCCTGATGTTCGGTTTGAAACCATGTGATGGTTGCACACTTGCACTGAGAGTGAGGGGAGGGAAACCTGGTACCTAGAGAGAGCGCGCTGATGAAGATCATGAAGGACAATATGAAGACGATGATCGACGCCCGTCCTAGCAGATCAATTAGCTTCCTCACAACCCTCTGGCCGACGATTGCAGCGAAAAATGCCAGGATGGTCAAGTAGACAGCTGCACAGGTTTCATTTCAGAGAATAAGTAACAAGTGCTAGATAATCATGGGAGGATATATGAGAGAAAATAGAGGCGGTACCATATGGCACGGGGAACCGGTTCAGGAGGTAGTACTCCATGACGGACATGGAAGATGAGAACATCATCGCGAAGGTGGCGGTGGCACTTGCGACCTGGGGACGTTCAACAGAATGCAAACATTTCGAAAACATGTGATAAATAGATAGCAGAAACCATGATGGAAACATAAAGTTCTTAACATGAGCAAACAAAGATATAATTACTTGCGGAGGGACGCCGAGCTCCAGGAAGAGAGGCCCCATGATGGAGCCCCCACCGACGCCAAGCAGACCGGCGACGACACCAGCGGTGACGCCCAAGAAGCAGTATACCAATAGCTGGTGAGCTCTCAGGCTGTTCTGCTCATTCCTCTTTGATGATATCACCCTCCTCCCCTGCACCAAACCTACTGCCTCGTACATGGCCACCCCAACAGACACTGGGATCTGCACACATATCCAACATGTAGATGAACTACGGATCCATTTTGTATGCGCTATAGTTGAATACCGAGGTGAAGAAAATCGGTACAGTCAGTACCTGGAGTAAGTTCAGAACCCAGTACCAGATGGAGCAAGTTGCCATGTAGTTCTGCAAACATGAAGAATTAACATAAGCCAGATGTCACTGTCGATATTACTATTTCTCCTGATGTAATTTCATATACAACATCTTTTTTTTTTGTAATAACATGAGTTGCATGTAGTAGTTTTCCATTTAGAATATCTTTCTGTGCAACCTGAATTACATTACTGAATACAATTATGGATACCATAGGGAACAGGGAAACTGAACACACAAGTGCACAGCTTGGTATTGTAAAAGGGAACAATTGATATTTAATAAAGCAGCTGATCATTGAAAACTTAAAGTACTTGATAATTTTACTGGAATTCATATTATTATAGTTTCAAATTGTAGTTGAGTTTCACACCTTAGTGACCTGAAGCGCAAGGAATGCTACCCAAACGAAGGCAAGAAGGCCAACCTCCTTCCAGTAAACATTCTTCCAAATGGATACCTGCAGTATCAGACCAGCTCTAGTCTTATGAGTCCTTAAGATGATTGTTTCCAAGGCCAGGGAATTAATGTTCATCAGTTTTTATTTCACCGCTTCGTCTGATGGGGTTTCATTTTGATCATGATCTGACAAAATTTCAGACTGAGATGCGGCGTCAAGTCCTTCAGACAGCGGCATGTACTCCTGTTGTTCACCTGCAGATAGCTGTGGCATTAGATCCCGCAGAAAACGTAAGCAATTTTCCGCGCTTTTTATTGCTCACTTACTTGTTTGCTCTGATTGTTTTGCGGTCTCCTGAACGAATAACCAAATGAAAGAGATTATCAGTTTATCACTTATCAGCATCCCTGATGTGGTGTAAAAATGAAAATAGACGTATCCAGAAAAACAAGAACATTACCGTTATGATTATCGTCTCTTTCTTCCATGTTTCGACAGCCTTCAGAAAAGCTTTAGTTGAAGTAACTGGAATTTAATTCGGAAATCATTCTGAAGTCAGCCACTATCAAAGTTTAGGATTAACGGTTGATGCAGTTTCAGGGCAATGTCCGAGCACCTATGAAGAGAATGATTAAGAGGACTGTGACAAGCCAGTCAGGGAATATCACATTGCAGATAACCCCAATGCTGACCCCTAGCATCAGCATGGGCTGTATGAGCAGGGCTAGATCATAGTCTATCACTGGCATGTCCAAAGTTGGGTGCTTCAGCTTGAGGTTACAGTACACGGTTGACACAGCAGCCCCCATGATCATACCTGTGACAGAAACAATCATGAACCGAACAATTTTCCAAAGATGCATTCTGTCGTGAGGATTTTTTTTTTTTGCCTTGTGCATTATGGTAAATATTAAGAGAAAATTTATGTTCAACCAATGGAATAGATTTGAGATGTACCTTGCACTTCAAATTATAGGACATTCTTTCAAAAAATGCCTTTTGGCATTTTTAAAAAAATGTTTCTACTTGTAGTGTTGAATATGCAACTAAGCCTTTTTATTACAAGCTAGTACTCCCTCTGTAAAGAAATATAAGAGCGTTTAGATCACTACTTTAGTGATCTAAATGCTCTAATATTTCTTTACGGAGGGAGTAGTTTATAGTGACATGATGTGCAGAATAAGTGTTGGGCCATTTATGTGTGTGGATTTTTTTTTGAAACAGAATGTGTGTTAGTTTTTGGCCTAAGTGGCACATGTATGCATGTATAAATATATGTATAGCGAACGAGGAGAAATGAATGACTCCAGATATTTCCACCATATTCCTCAGTAAGACATGTAGGGCCTCATTGCAAATAATACAGTCTGAAGCTAAATCATGAAGAAGAATACATGGATAAATAATAAGAAAAATAATAGCATGAAGATGAACTGAATCCTCACATTTTGACATCGCCGCAGACGACTTGGGATCAAAGCCAATGATCAGGGTCAGCATCGGCACGAAGATCCCGCCGCCACCTACACCGCCGATGCTGCCGAACGCTGCTCCGAAGAATCCAATGAACGACCCCAACACAATTTTCCATCCCAGTTTCATGGGCTACACAGGAAGGTACAGATAAGAAACACCAAATTAGCAGTCATCTCAGTTAACAGCGACTCATGGATAAAAATGAAGAAGTGCAGAGTGGGTCAGAATCATCAAAGGAGTCAGCTCAAGTTTAACTAGCCGATAGGTAGATCCCCTGAAGACTGGATTTAAACAGCTTAATTTGTTGATATGTGTTTCTGCACAAGCTCTAGGACTAGGATAAGTACAGCTCGAAATCAACACAGAAGAAAGGCTTCAGTTATTACCGGCCACACGTGGTGGTAGGCGGTTCCGTCACTCTGCCACAGGGAGCTGGCCAGCTTGCGCAGGTCGTAGCTCGCTTCCTCCGGCGGCGCCGTGGCGCCGGCGAACGAGAGCCCCCTGTCGGCGGCGACGGCGGCGGCCACAGTGCAGGCCACGCCCAGCGCCGCGACGACGTGCCATTTCATCCCCATTTCTTGCTCCCCTCCCCTCCCCTGCAAATCTGCAAAATTCTTTGGGCGCACAGTCAGCGTGTGCTGTTTTTGACCGCGAAAAAAGTAGAGAGATCACGGCGAAATTTAGTGATCTTCTCAGAAATCTTTGCGTACCTGTGCAGGAGCAGGGTCAATGAGCGATTTTTTAAGGAGATTTGAGGGCGAGCGAGCTGCAAGAGCCGCCGAGCGGAAGTAGGAGAAGGCGGGTGGAGATTTATTAACGACTTCCTGTGGCGACAGAGCGGCCCAACGACCATAGTAGAATGAGATCGTCCGACAAGGCCGATGCGAATTAATTGAACAGTACGGTTGACAACCATTGATTTGACCCACCTATCAATCATACAAAATGGGACTTGTGTCACTAGTAATTGTGTTTGTACGAATGCACGTTAATCATTCTTATTTTTTTAGAGTACGCAATCGCAATCGTGTACCTTAACTTTATAAAAGACAGAAATATGTATAAAAAGTTTTACAAATAGGAAGGATGTCCTAGCACACGACAAGACCGTTGTCAGAGACCCCCTAACTCCACTCCTGAACTAAACTCTACTACTCCCAGAATATGCTAACTCCACGGCCTCCTACCAACATCGAAGACCATGTGCGTAGTACATCGAAGGTCTGCAAGGTGAATTGCTGCACTGTGGCGGCGATTGATGTTCTTGGACCAAACACGATCTCATTTTTATGATTCCAAAGCTGCCAGGAAATCAACATTACCAGCGAGTCGAAGGCCTTCCTATGTTTAGCTGGTATTCGTGGGCAACTAGCCATCCATCAGGGTTCCAATGTATGGTTCGTTGTAGGGACCAGCGAGGTGTCCACTCTGGCATGTTGGAAGCACCTATGCCAAACTTGACGAGCGAATACACACTGAATCAGGATGTGACTCACAGTATCTTCTTCTTGAGCACATTTTTTTAAATGGAGGAGGACCCCAGGCCTCTGCATCTGGACGATGCATGCAACCACTTTATTAAGCACATATGTAGCATGGTGATCGTTGGTCCCGAAGCCCATGTTTGAACCTACGATCAGCAGTCCAAAGTCAATATTGCGTGGCTAGCCACATGAACAGCTTGCAAGAGAGAGGAGCCCAACACTTCCAGATCGCCTTTGCCGGGGCAAAACCGATACTCCCTTCCCACATCATCGCATAAGTAGATGTCAAGGAATGTACACCTAGATTGTTCCATTTCCATATTGGGGTGTCGGATTGTGCTGGATCTAGCTGAATGGTGATCATGATTTCTCATAGACAAACAATTTGCACCAATCCATCTGCCGACAATTCCCCGATCACATCATTGGCCCAGCGATGTAACTGTAGCACATCCGAAACCGTCCTCCTATTAGCCACTTGCGTACGCACCCTTGCACAAACCATCGGCGTGAGCTCAGCGACGGTGGAACCATTGAGCCACGTATCCTTCCAGAATAAGATTCGTCGCCCGTCTCCCACATTCCATTGCACAAGACTGGTGAAGGCAGCCTGTGTCTGATTATCCATCACAAGCGAGAGACCCTGCACTAGTGCAGAACCGGGCTTTAGCGCCGGTTCGTAAGGGTCTTTAGTGCCGGTTCTACAACCGGCACTAAAGAGTGGGGACTAAAGCCCCCCCTTAGTACTGGTTCGGCACCAACCGGCGCTAAAGTGCCACCACGTGGCACAAGCCTAGCCCCGGGTACTGGTAGATCTTTAGTACCGGTTGATAACACCATCCGATACTAAATGTTTGGGGTGTTTTTGTTTTATTTTTCTTTTTCTTTTAATTTTGTGTTTTCAATTTAATTTAGTGATTGTTTTACATTATAATGAGTTGTTAAATCATTAGGTAAAAGTACCACAGATTAGTTTCGACTGGATGCATGTGGATCCTGGCAGCTAAGTGATCAAGTATATGCCAGATCCATATTACCTTGATCATAAGGTAATATGGATCTGGCATATACTTGATCACTTAGCTAGGATCCATCCAGCTGAAACTAATCTGCGGTTTCTTTCATAAATGATATAATAACTCATCAACAACATCATCATCATCATATTAATATAAAAACTCTTGCATCATATCATCACCAACAACAGTATATACTAGCTAGCTAAAAATCATCATAGTCGTCATTACCACTATTTAATCATCATAGTCATTACCGCTATCTAATCACCACCAACACTAGCTTAAAGAAGAAACATTCACTTGTACCAGAAGCAAAGATATCATCGAGTTCAACATGGTCATGATATTATAAGCGTTCATAACACCACAAAAGCAAATCACTTTTTGAGATTAAGTTCGGTACTAAGAGCATGAACTAGCTAATCACTCCTGCTGCTCTCTCTCAGGTAAAATAGCACAGAACATGTATAGCTCTCCTGATTCATCAGATTGGAGCATGCAGATGAACCTATCTCCTAATTGTGGGTTGCGCTTCTGATTGCTGCCCCCTAATACTTCTCTGCGATCGTTAACAATTTTGCTCCAATCTTTCACTATTAAACATTCCTCGCTTTTAGAAATCCTAAATGCACTCATGTGCAATGTAGGATGTCTTGGCCGTAAGCTAACCATTGACATGCGACCTTTAGTCTCGATCCACTGAGACACAACTGTCATCGGGAGTCCCTGTTCAAGAACATCGCATAGTAATATACTTAGCAATGAAAGTTTAGCTTGAAAAATAATGTATGCAAAAGATTCACTGAGGATAAACTGTAAAAATCATACCATCTTTCCTAAATAGATGTGACCGTAGTTTAATACGATCACTATTGGTCGCACGTTTTGAGTACTAAGATTTTCAAATTCAGGAAAATAATTTCTCTTGAAAGCATCAAGATTATCAAGCCATGAAACATAATGACTTGCCTCCTCGCAGTTTAGTTCAGCCCCGGGACAGTGGACGGTCCTGTCTACCAAGCGCCAGGCATGTTTGCTTGAATGGAAATAAGCTGTCAATAAAAATTACCTGTCAACTATTTTTGAATAAACAATATCGAAGACATAAATATGGTTGAGAAACTCACATAATGGTAGAACTGGAGGCGTCTGCACATCGACCCAGATGTTTCTATTACCTTCAATATCATCTTCCGGACGAATATCAAAGGTGATAACCATATCAGGCTCAAATGCATAAGCCTTGCATAGTGCTTGCCAAGTTTTGCATTCAAAATAGGTGTATGCGTCTGCATTGTATAATTTGATGTTGAAGGTATAACCATGCTCGGTCTTCAAGTAAACCTTTTTTACCTTCATAGTTTTGTTAGGACTGAAACCTATCTTATCCAGAACAAAAATTCTTGCATGACAGGGGAAACTCTAGTATAGTAGTGAAAAATTAAAATTATAAGTTGAAGCAAATGAAGCATAAGTCATGCTTAATTACGAAAAAAGAATTGTCGTTGTGACTTATTGTATCCACTTCGAAGTTCTCATCCAGCTTAATGCTGAAGCGCCTATCATCAACTAAAAAATTTCTGTTGCACAGGCCGCACTGGCCTTCGCAGTATTCGCACATAATGAAACTGTGTTCGTCGTCAGACGACATTCCTATGTTCATAGGTGAAACATTAAACACTTATTTGTTCTCATCCATCTTGATGCTGAAGCGTGTATCATCAACTAGTTTAATTAATTCAACTAATTCAACTAAGCACTTACTAAAAATATACCTAAATAAAGTAGCTCAACTAATTCAACTAACTAGTTCAACTAATTAATTCAACTAATTCAACTAAACTAGTTCTATTAAATTTTTTTACTAAAAATAAAGTAGCTAGTTCTATATAGTAAAATTTTAATTAGATGACAATCTCATATACTAAAAATAACTAGTTCTATTAATTCAACTAATTCAATTAAGAATTTACTAAAAATAAACTAGTTCTATTAATTTTCTTACTAAAATATATAAAGTAGCTATATATAGTAATATTTTAATTAGATCATCAAATCTCATATACCTAAATTTTCTTACTAAAAATAAACTAGATCTAATTTAACTAGCTAGTTCAACTAAGCATTTACTAAAAATAAACTAGTTATATTAATTCAATTAGTTCAAATAATCTCATATACCTAATTAATATCTAGCCAATTCATCTAACAATTGACATTAATATTTAACTTTTCTATCTAATTCATTTAACATTAACATTCTAATATTCTTATCTAGGTAATTCATCTAATTCGATCATCTAATTAACAATTTGACATGCATTAATCTAAAAACCAAAAAACAGAAAATAAGTAAAAAAATGTGTGTGTGTGTGCGCGCATGTGTGTACGTGTTTGTGTTTGTGTGTGTGTGTATGTGTGTGTGTACGAGGGCGGCGGCGTACGGGTGGTGGGGGCGAGACGACAACGACGGGGATGATGGGGAGCGGCGCGAGACGGCGACGACGGGCGGCGGGGGCGACGGCGCGTGCGGGACGGGAGAGAGGTTGGAGATGGGAGATGAAACTAAATTTTTCGCAAGTGCTATATATATAGGAGAGGCCTTTAGTACCGGTTGGAGCCACCAACCGGTACTAAAGGCCAATTTTGGCTAGGTCAAGTGGCGGGAATCAACCCACTTTAGTACCGGTTCGTGGCTCCAACCGGTACTAAAGGATGGCTTTTAGTACCGGTTGGAGCCATGAACCGGTACTAAAGGTGTGCGTTGTGGTGCGCAAAGTTTAGTCCCACCTCACCGGGCGAAGGACAGCCGCATTGGTTTATAAAACCCAGCCGCGGCTGCTCTATCGAACTCCTCTGTAAACCAGGCTTCTGGGCCTAACTATGACGCGCTGTCCTGTGAGCCTGCTGGCCCTTGTGGGCCTGAATTTACATGCCCAAGGCCTAGCAGGCCCACTGGACAGCGCCCCAACAATTTTTATATAGTATTTTCTGCTTTATTTATTTTTTCTATTTATTTCTGAGTAGTTTGTTTATATAGTTTTTTCTTTTCTACTTTATTTATTTTCTTCTATTTGTTTCTGAGTAGTTTTTATATATTGTTTTTCTTTTCTGCTTTATTTATTTTCTTCTATTTATTTCTGAGTAATTTTTTATATAGTTTTTTTTCTGCTTTATTTATTTCTGAGTAGTTTTTTTATATAGTCTGGAGTCCAAATAAGTTTTAAAAAATGAAGTGACCGTGTAACAGATGAGTTCTCGTCCGAAACTCTGATACTCCGAAAGAGATTGTCCAGTTTGTACACGAAGTGCGTCCAGTTTTTGCCGTAACCCTCTCCACTCTTTTGCACATGCTATGTGGGTGAAATGATGATATTATGCCAAGTTTCAACATTTTCAGAGTTCATTTTGTAGTGATTTTCAATTTCACGGTCATTTAGCTCTCTATACAAATCGGTAAATGACTGAAAAAGAGCAAATGATGTCAGAAAGGGTTGAAAATTGACGACGTCGCTTTGAATGCTGCATAAGGAACGCAAAAAGTCTGGAGTTTAAATAAGTTTAAAAAAAAATGAAGTAACCGTGTAACAGACGAGTTCTCGTGTGAAACCCTGATACTCCGAAAGAGATTGTCCAGTTTATACACGAAGTGCGTCCAGTTTTTGCCGTAACCCTCTTTATTCTTTTGCACATGCTATGTGGGTAAAATGATGATACCATGCCAAGTTTCAACATTTTCAGAGTTCATTTTGTAGTGATTTTCAATTTCACGGTCATTTAGCTCTCTAAACAAATCGGTAAATAACCGAAAAAGAGCAAATGATGTCAGAAAGGGTTGAAAATTGACGACATTGCTTTGAATGCTGCATACGGAACGCAAAAAATGTCTGGAGTCCAGATAAGTTTAAAAAATGATGTGCCCGTGTAACAGACGAGTTCTCGTCCGAAACCCTGATACTCCGAAAGAGATTGTCCAGTTTGTACACGAAGTGCGTCCAGTTTTTGTCGTAACTCTCTCTACTCTTTTGCACATACTATGTGGGTGAAATGATGATACCATGCCAAGTTTCAACATTTTCAGAGTTCATTTTGTAGTGATTTTTAATCTCACGGTCATTTAGCTCTCTAAACAAATCGGTAAATGACTGAAAAGAGCAAATGATGTTAGAAAGGGTCGAAAATTGATGACGTCACTTTGAATGATGCATACTGAATGCAAAAAGTCTGGAGTCCAAACATGTAAAAATATACATAAAAAATACGGTGATTATCAATGATCTTTTTGTGTACAATCTGAATTGTCATCATGAGTCATCAACGGTTTACAAACCGGTGAAGACTCATATTGCGACCAAAAATTCTACACATAGAGTTCAATGAAGACCAAGTGCTTGTGATAGTTTGAGAAGTAACATATTTAGGGTGGTAAAAACCTTGCTAGGGGAGCGAGATGGGACTAAAAACAGCCTGCCACAACCTCTTTACTATCGGTTCATACCACGAACCGGTACTAAAGGGGTTGGCCCGGCCCCAGCCCCTTTAGTACCGGTTCGTGGCATGAACCAGTACTAAAGGGTCGCCCTTAACCGGTACTAAAAATCTCCTCCCGCCTAGCCGTTTGAACCGACACTAATGGACACATTAGTGCCGGCTCCAATGCAAACCGGGACTAATGTGTCTCACATTTGACCCTTTTTCTACTAGTGCTGCCATGGCCTTCCCTGGTCAGTTCGCTTCAGCCATTCCCAGCGTAGTCTAAGGGCTAGCCCCTGCCTATTGAGGTCTAGTATTCCAAGCCCTCCGAGTTGTTTGGGACGACAAACTCTTCGCCAAGAAACTAAGCATTTACCTCCATGTATGTGATCAGAGTTTTGAGACATTAGAGTTTTGCTGCCGTACACCCCTTAAAAGTTTGCACAAATCTTAAAGTTATGTAAAAACACTATTACTCCCTCTGTCCCAAAATAAGTGTAACTGATTTAGTACAATTTACGTTAAAATAAGTGTCATTGATTTAGTGCAACTTACTACTTCTTTTAGGACGGAGGGAGTATCATATTAGTTTGCAGATCAAACACATTGAATAGATTGATTTGTATAGAAACTACTCTATTCTCATTTTTTATTGAAGGGATACCTTCTAATCTTCACCTTTAATTTGCATAAAAAACGTAAACATTTCTTGGGGAGGGGGGGCGTACCAAAACAAAGTTCTTATTCAAATCCATTAAACTAGTAGGATTTAATCAATGTTCATGACATGGAATAAAAATCAGTAGGTTCTAGAAGAAAATCATAGAAGGAGATTGCATATAAGCACTGTCGTATGAGACTTATTTTAATTTTGCCAGTAATTTCAACCTGCCTATCAAATTCCAATTGGCGGACTGCCATATGTTTCCATTTCTTTTTAGTTGGTAGATTATTACTCACAAATAGTCCCCCCCTTCTCCTCCACATCTAAAGTGACTAGGGTTTTCACCCCTCTAACCAGCGTGATCGCCAATCCTCCCTGCCCACATTGGCTCGAAGGGTCTTGGAGGTGCGGCAGACCCTAGTCCCTTGGCGACGGCAGGCGGGGGAGGGGGTAGAATCTTTTCATTGGTAATTTTAGTGCACTAGTCGGGCCGACGAGGTAGTAGTGACATCCTAGGTTTAGAATAATGCCCTCTCCACCCTACCCAGCCCCAACGGTGCGCCTAGCGCTACTAGAGGGCATGTGGAGTTGTGTTTTCAAGGGATCTGCTTGTATCTGGTCAACATTGGTCTCCGGTAGATATGTCTAGATTCGACCGATGTTCATTATCATTGGGGTGTTTGCAAGCATGGTCCTTCTACTCTACGTTTTCCTTCTTCGGTGACGTTGCTAGCCAGATCATTGTGGGTTTAGCACAACTTCTCCTCGACTGTCAACTTTAACAAGGGTGTCCAGTTCTGGTGAGAGAGGACAATGATGGTGGCGCACCTTTGGCTCGTGTTAGTTAGGAAGAATGGGTTTGCATGAATCGATAATCATTGATTGTGTGCATGGTGCACATATATAGGTACAGGGTGGACCGGCCTCTACTTGTCTCCCAAGATGTACAGATATACGAGGGGGGAGAGAGAGATACAACGGTATAAATACAGACCCAAGTCCTATACATATGCAGTGTACAACGTACGCTCAACACCCCCCGCAGTCGAAGCGTCGCGGGAGACACAGAGAATGGACCGAAACTCCTCGAAGACTAGGGTCGGTAGTCCCTTAGTCATAACATCGGCAAACTGCTGAGTGGTAGGAACGTGCAGAACACGAACCTTCCCGAGAGCCACCTGCTCGCGAACGAAGTGAATGTCGAGCTCAATATGCTTCGTAC